AGACAAAAATAAGTTGGAAAGCCTGCTGGTAAAGAGCGTTAACCAGCACATCTAAAGGTTGAGTAGTTTGAGCTTAATGGAGGAGGCTACGGGATGAAAATGGAATGTGAAGGAAGCAATTCTAGTCTCGTCCAAGATGGTGGCTAATGAAGGTAGACAGCAGGTGGTAAGTGAGAGAGGCTAAAAAGGAAGCCTCTGCACACCACCATGACTCAACAAATGTGGGAGCAGAAGAAAGAAGTATAAAAATAACTGCACTTGAAGCAATGCTTTATGAAAAGTGCCCTGCTTTATCCAAAATAATGAAGTACCCAAGAGGTATCTGGTAGTGTATTTTGATTCCCATGAGTAAGAGAGAGACCAGTTATCTTGGCACGGGCTTTCCTACAGGCCAGCAGTTTTCAACTTCTGCTTCATCAGCCTGACTCTCCTTCACTGTCACTTTGAAATCTCTTCATTGGGAATCGGGTCCTTATGAGACCATCTCTACTGGAATCCCAAGCTCATCAGTCACTCTAAATCTGACCCAGAGGCCCAAGGTCAGAAGTCCCAAAACATCTGGCCCCAATAGGGCCTGAAGTGAATGGCCACACAGGAAACAGTGTAAACTTGCAGGCAAGATGGCAATGAAAATGTGTGCTTGGCTTCCGAAAGAAATGCACCATTTTATTTTTATGGAGAGCCCTTCCTTGGTAAAATTGAAAGTGTTTTCACAAGCATGATCTCATTCTCACAGTAGCCGTGTGAAAGAGGAAATGGAGGAGACATTTTAATTCCCATTTTATAAAAGAATAAATTAAGAGGGGGAGAGATCAAGTGACTCTTTTCCCAATTCTCCCTCTTAAATAGGCCAACGGGGCTTGAGCTAGAGCCAGTTTTCCTAATGACCTCTCTCTCTCTCTCTCTCTCTCTCTCTCTCTCTCCCTGTGTGTGTGTGTATTCTGAAGCCCAGTCTATCCTAAGACTTGGCATGGCACCATCAGATGGCATGTACCAGGTGGTTCATATTTTTATTTCACAACATATAAGTGACATTCATACAGCACAGTCTATAAATATCCTATCCAATTAGTACTATCTGAACAGGCAAATGTTTGCTTACAAACCCATCTACAATTGTGGAATGATACAATGTCTAGGCATCTATACACATTTTTTTAAGTGAGCCATTGAACACTGTCAAGTTGTTAGTTATAATCCTGTGATAACTGACCACGGATCTTTCACATTCAGAAAGCTTCTGCACAGCTCCATAAAGATACCGCTTTATCACTGCTTGCTTGATGACTTGAAAAATTGCTCTGAATGGAAAATATCCATAAATTTTAAAAGGCAGTCTTACCAAGAACCATAAATAGTTCTCATTCTGTTTCTAAATAGCAAGATCACATTAAAACTCAAAAATAGATAACATTAATCACTATAATTCAAATAACTACTCTCTAGACCTGGCAGGGAACCTTGAGAGCTTAGTTCTTTTTTCCTATGAATTTCTGGCATAGCATGCTTGGGGGGTGGGGAGTTTGTTAACAGTATTTAAAGTTAGGGAAAGCCTTAGTGGAAAGTGGCATTTGTTGCCTTCCTGTCTTTTATCTGCCCACTCAGAAACCCATACTCAGCCTTGATTATGACTGTGGTGGGAATAACTTGGTGGGACTGTGCTGATTTTTATAGAAGGATATAACCAAGGACAGATAATAATTACTGAAATAGCAGTCATCCTTTGCCTAACAATTTGCAGCTTACAAACCTTGTCACCTGCACAATCTCATTTGTTTTTTCCCATAGAACAATATGTTGCTATTATTATTGTTCCTCATTATTGTGAAGAATGTGAGTCACAGAGGATTTAAGTTAGTTTTGAAAGTCACACAGCTAGGAAGTGATGGAGCTGGAAATTGGACCAAAGTTTTCTGACGCCCTATCCCATCTAATGTCAGCTGTACCATGTGACCTCCCAAACCTACCAAAAATGTTGGGTCAAGAATGGAGGTGGGCAGAAAAGTAGTCAATCTGTTTAAAAAAAAAATTTTTTTAAGGACTAGCCAAGTAGGTAAAAATGAGGAAATGAGATATACTAAAGAGGAAACCCAAATGGCCAATAAACATATGAAAAGATGCTCACCCTCAGTAGCGATCAGGGAAATGCAAATTAAAACCGTGATCACACCCATTAGAGCAATGAAAATTAAGTCTGAGAATGCCAAGTATTGTATCAGATAGGGAGCAATGAAAATTCTGATATACCAGAAATGGGAGTGTAAATCAATTTGACCTATTTTGCTAGCCATTTGCCATGATAGAACGAAGTTGAAGAAGCACATGGTCTTGGCCCAGCAATACAACTCCAAGGTCCAAACCTCAGAAAAACTCCACCGCAAGTGCACAAGGGCAATGGAAGTAGATTATTAGCAGAATTATCTTTAGTAGCCAAAAATTCACAAGAACCCAATCATCTATTAACATAAGAATGGACAAATATTAATAAAATAGTGATGTAGCCATCCAAAAATAATCTGTTGCAATGAAAATTAATGAACTAGAGGTAAAAATAGATAAGTATCACAAATACATTTGGAAGGAAATTACAGAAGATTAATATATATACCATTTACAATGATTTTTAAAATGTGCAAAGCCATCTTTGGGGGATATTATTATTTAGGGATTAAGTATTGCTTAGGGACATTATTTGCAGGTATGTAGATTGTCATAAAAACAAAGTGCATGTGAATAATGCAGGACAGTGATTATGACTGGACAGGGCAATAGGTGGGAGAGAGGTGCTAGCCGGGACCACAGCTCGTATGTTCAGTGTTCTCATCGTTGAGTTGGACGGTGGTACACGGTATTTATTATTCTCTCAACCTTGGAATGTGTAAAATAGATGATCCTAACTTTAAAAGTATAAGAGGCAGGAAGAAAAGAAAAAAGTGTGTCTGGATCAGCTACTTCAACAGACCCGTTGAAAATGATGCCAGAGAGTCCCCGTTTGCCATGGTCTGATGACAATCACAGCACCAGAGAAAGGATGCTCATCCCAATTCAACCCTCGTCCTGCTCCAAAATCCACCATTACACCAACACCCTTTCTGATATACATAATTGAAGTGTGAAGTTCCGTCTAACCAATCACGGAGTCTGTGACATTTTCTAGAATCACACTTAAGCTGGATCCCAGAAAATGTTTGTTTGACTTTTCTGTCTTTATATCTTTAGCACTTTCAAGCAGAACTCTAGCATTTGGGAGGAGTGAATGTTAGTTAACTGAGTCTATGTTGTTGAAAGTATTTTACTCAAGAATGTTTTATTCATAGAATTATTTATTTTAGAATGCATAGAGTGGGGCGCCTGGGTGGCTCAGTGGGTTAAGCCGCTGCCTTCGGCTCAGGTCATGATCTCAGGGTCCTGGGATCGAGTCCCGCATCGGGCTCTCTGCTCAGCAGGGAGCCTGTTTCCCTCTCTCTCTCTGCCTGCCTCTCTGTCTACTCGTGATCTCTCTCTGTCAAATAAATAAAATAAAAAATCTTTAAAAAAAAAAAAAAAAAAAAAAGAATGCATAGAGTGAAGTAATCATTTCATATCAGACACCTAAGAAAAGCTAGAAAACTAACTCTGAAAGTTCAACTCTGTTTTTACATTTTTGATGTTTGCAATTCTGATGGGCAGGGATGTCTCAGAATGAAATCCCTAGCCATTTACACTACCCACTTCAGAATTACTCCAATAAATTAACGTCTGTTGAGTTACTCATTTGACAGTCTGTGAAAACATGTCTTTTATATCCCTCATATAATACTCAGCGTAGTCAGTCACAATCTCAATTTGCAAGTTCAACTCTCAAATATTATGGTTTGTGAGAATAAAAATATCCACTCATAATAGAACAGTTCTCTATAAATAAAACTGTTATTCATACATAATTGAAATTTTTAAACAATTATCTCAAGCGTGTTCTTTCTGTATCTTAAGGAGGAAATATTGTTTTTCAGAGTTTTTATTTTATAATGAATAATTAATATTCAGGGTATTTTTAACATCCTAAAGTTACCTTCTATCCAGTGGACTTCTGTAACTCTACGAAAATTCATTGGGGAGAGAGGACAAATGCCTTTTTCAAGAAGATCTACAGAAATATTAATTAATCTAAGATCAGAAGATGAGTTTATGGCAGCCTCTTGTTTGAAAGCCAGGGCCCCAAATCCCCTCTATCCTGATTTAGCAATAGTAATATTAGTAGTGGTCCACATTTACTGGGCACTCACCATGTGTAAGACACAATACCAAACACTTTCCCTGCATTATCTTATTTAATCCTCACAACAACTTTACAAATGAGGAACGGTGGCTCAAAGCAGGCATGTCACTTGCCCCAATCACAGATCTGCTAATTAGTAGAGCCAGGATATGGACCTGGGTCCCTGATCCCAGAACTAGTGCTCTTGACCTTTACTTGTGCATACATGGAGCCTTTGTAAACACACCTTACCATAGATGGAGAAAATAAATGGTCAACATGTTTCCTCTTCCATGAAAAAAAAAAAAAAATAGCAGTTGACTCGTCAAATTAGACCAAGAAAACCGTATACCGGGCTTCTACATACAAAACTTATGACCACCACTTCTCAATAGTTTGAGAATTCCATTAACTGAATTGCACTGAAGATGGAAATGAAGATGAAAAAGAAGCATAGAATGTGTGCTTCCTCGAGGTCCAAATTCTTCCAAACTTTTCTTTCTGAACACAAAGCTGTTTCTGAACTCCAAGAATAAACACATAGCATTTTTTTTTCATCATTTGATTATCGTGTTTGTTGGCAGACCTGTTGGTAACCTTGAATCACCTACAGTGAATTTAAATATTATTCTAATTGATTTCCTTCCTGCTTACCGAGAAACAGAGTGCCTCTTTTACTAGTCTCATAAATAATTCCATTTCTCTATGTCAACTTTAATTGAACTTACCTCACGTTGTCAATCTCTTTCTTTTTTCCTTGCAGGTGATGTCATTGTCTATATTAATGAAGTTTGTGTCCTTGGACATACTCATGCAGATGTAGTCAAACTTTTCCAGTCTGTTCCTATTGGTCAGAGTGTCAACCTGGTATTGTGTCGTGGCTACCCTTTGCCCTTTGATCCTGAAGATCCTGCTAACAGCATGGTGCCACCCCTTGCAATAATGGAGAGGCCACCTCCGGTGATGGTCAATGGAAGACATAACTATGAAACATACTTGGAATACATTTCTCGGACCTCACAGTCGGTTCCAGATATAACAGATCGGCCACCTCATTCTTTGCACTCAATGCCAGCTGATGGTCAACTAGATGGCACGTATCCACCACCCGTCCATGACGACAATGTGTCTATGGCTTCATCTGGGGCCACCCAAGCTGAACTTATGACCTTAACCATTGTGAAAGGGGCCCAGGGCTTTGGCTTCACTATTGCCGACAGTCCTACAGGACAACGGGTGAAACAAATACTTGACATTCAGGGATGCCCTGGCCTGTGTGAAGGCGACCTCATTGTTGAGATCAACCAGCAGAATGTACAGAACCTGAGCCATACAGAAGTAGTGGATATACTTAAGGACTGTCCTGTTGGAAGTGAGACTTCTTTGATTATCCATCGAGGAGGTAAGATAAACACTACTCACTAATAAAATATGCATGTAAAATAGTAAGATGTTACAATACTATCATAAAAAAGGAATTTCCCCTGAGTTGAATGAAATCATACTTTAAAAAATCAAAGTCAAAGAATAGGAGAGAAAAACAAGAGTCCAGAAGCAGTGGTTTGGTTTTTTGTTTTTTGTTTTTAAATTTTGAGAATGTATATTTTCTTCCTATTTTATATTAAACACGGTAAAAGTAGTGCTTTCTGTCTTACAAATGTATCTTAGTATGAAGTTGGAGGGTAAAGCCTAATCCGCAAATATATTTGGTTTATATTCCAAAAGTTCATTATATATTGCTTATAGAGATCCCAAACTGGTTTCCCATTGACTTAATCAAGAACTCTAGATTCTTCCAATCTAGTCAATGCTCTGTATTGTGCTTAGGATTCTAGTTAGCAAGTGGAAGCTGGTTCAACCCCTGCCAAGTTCAAATGTGGTTTTATAATCCCCATAAGGACCTTTGGGAACTGGTTGCCATAGAAAAATCTTTTCAGAGTCATGAATTGGGATGCTTAGGACACTTTTCCACTAGGAAGGTTCTCCTCCAGCAATAATTTCTCGTGGTGCCTTCCATGACCTGGGAAGGAAGTTATGGAACCCAGTTAGGGCTGAAGTTCTAAGCTGGGTGTTCTAGCTGAACTATAGAAATCGGAGCAGTGAGGAGGGTGGGAGGAACTCTGAGTCCTGGGGGTTTCCTCCCTTCTACCTTCTGGGGAAGGAAATGGGGCTAAGTGGAAGCCCTCCTTCATTCCTCTGCTACTTTGCTCTTAACTGTCAGTGACACTAGGGAGAGAAATGAGGGGAGGGCCACAGACAGGAAGGATACTTGAAAAGAGTATAAAAGAAAAGGCTCAGGCTAACTCCTGGTTTTCTGCTTCCCAGTTCTGGGACTTGGGACACTTAAAGTCCAGGAGCCTCAGAAGCCTTGTCTGTTATATTGGGATGATAATACTCCTTAACCTGGTAGTCGTGTTCTTTATATCGAATGACCCACAGTAGGTGTTCATGAAATGTGTGTTGAGCATAAAGGGGCCCTGAAGCTCTAGCAAGGGTGGGGCACAGGTAGCAGCACTTTGAGGAACTCAGGCGTGAAGAACACACATGTGGCCAACCTATGTGATTGTCCATTCAGAGCACTAAAAACAGCATGAAAACCCTGTCAGTTTGAAATGCAAAGGAAAGCTGTCAGAGCTTGAAAGAAGCACCTTTTATGATTTATTTGGCCCTCACTGCAGGTGTTTCCACTTCAAGGAAGTATTTACATTATTGATTCCTTGTGTGAAAGTGGACGACAAATACTAGGCATTTTTTGAGCAACACTGCACAAAGTATTATGTCCCTATATTAAAAAGGAAAATTATGATAGCAGAAGTCTTAAATTTGACCTTCTTAAGGCGTTACAGAATAGCACTCGAATCTTTATAATTAAATATTGACAGTGTATTTTAATTTCTCCCATTGCTTGTGTAAGATTAAAACAAATATTCTTAATTAAAGAAAAACAAATATTCTTAATCTTCGTAGCATGCAGCTGAAAAGCAAATCTTTGTAACAGATTCTTGATATTAAAAGGTATACTGAAAATCACTGTATAGTATAGCCATTCTATGAGTCATAGAAGCAAATTTGGATACATATCCTACCTATATAATGACTTCTTTTTAAAGGCATGGCATAGCAGGAAAAAGTACTTTGAAATCATTTATATATATATATAAATGCCCACTATCAGATAGACAACCCTATACTTGCTCTTTTTTTCCCTCTAGTTTTCCCACCACTCCTTTAATCCTCTGGGATGTCACCTTTTATTTGCATTTTGCTTGTGTTTGGGGTTAGGAATTGGTTTTTATTTTGTGGCTGGTGAGACCTGCAGAATGTAGTACCCTGTAATGCTTAAAGTACTTCTAGTCAAAAACCTCTCATGTTTCCCCAAATTCCCACAATTTGCACTCATCCTCTCTGAAATTATAAGGAACTAATACCATGTTTTTGTGATGAAATTTTTCACAATTATTTTGGCTATTCTAGATTCTTTCCATTTTCATATAAATTTTAGGGTCATCTTTTGCTTTCTCTTATTATAGGCTACTCATAAGTGCTCATAGCCTCATTCAGATACGTACAGACCTTCAAGAGTAGAGTCACATGCCTGGGTCCTTCTATCAGAATTGTGGTTCTTTGTTTTAATTATTTACGAGGATTTTTAGTTTTTAAAGCAATAATATACATGGTTTAATTTTTTTAGACAGTGTCTGAAGAGGTATCCAGTGAAAAATAATTCTCTTTCCTGTCCCAGACTGTCAGTGCTTTTTTCAGAAGCAGACATGTTTTTTGAATATATACTTCCAGAAATGTTGTGGTCCTAAGGAGCACATGCATGAATATAGGTAGTGTGTTTACTATAAATGATACGATATTATACACACAAATATCTAACTCTAAATATCTTGGTTATGAGGATATATTTCATTTTTAACACACACCATTGTGAAGTAACTTATATAGCATAAAATTAACCCACTTAAATTATATACATCATTAAGTTTCACTAAAATGGTATTTTTTTGTGTAACAGCCCCCGTAATCCTTAGAACATCTATCATCTCAAATTCTCTCAGCCCTGGAAAATCACTAAGATGCTTTCTGGATAGTTTTGCCTTTCTGTAATTTTTTCATAAACGGAATCATACAGGGACACCTGGGTGGCACAGTAGGTTAGGTTAAGCACCGGGCTGTTGGCTTCTGCTCAGGTAGTGATCTCATCACGGTCATGAGATCAGTGAGATCAAGCTCGCATTGGGTTCCGTGCTCAACGCAGAGTCCACTTAAGAATCTTCCTCTCCCTCTGCCCTCCCACTTGTGCGTTCTCTCTCGTTCTCTCTCTCTCTCTCTCTCTCTCTCTCGGAAATAAGTAAATAAATCTTTAACTCAATCAATCAGTGGAATCAAACAGTATATATAGTCTTTTACCTAACATAATGCTCCCGTGATTCCCCAATGCTGAAGCATGTGAGAGCAGTGTGTTTCTTCTTATCACTGAGTAGTTAGTGTTCCATTGTATGGATCTACCGCTTTTTAAAATCCATTCACAAAGGGATGGACATTAGAGTCATTTTCAGGTTTTGACATTCATAAGTAATGTTGCTGTGAACACTTAGATGTAAGTGTTTGTATGTGCATATGTTTTGTTTTTCTTGATGAGATACCTAGGAGTGATACGGCCGACTTATGTGACAAATATATATTTAAGTTGTTAAGAAATTGCCACAATGTTTTCCAAAGTAACGATACCATTTTACATTCCCCACTAGTAATGTATGAGGTTTCCAGTTTCTGCCCATTGTTGCCCTAGTCGGTAGTCTTAATTACAGTCATTCTAGTGTCTGTAGAATGATAACTTTTTTGTAATTTTAATTTACATTTCTCAATTTTTTATGTGTTTACCACATTCTCATGTGTTTATTAACATTCATATATCTTCTTTGATAGCATGACTACTCAATATTTTGCCCATCTGAATATTTATTGGGCTATTTATCTTCTTATTATGTTGTTAAAGTTCTTTATGTATTCTGATTACATGTCTTTCCTAAGATATATGGTTTGCAGATACTTTCTCCCAGTCTGTGGCTTGACTTTTCATTTTCTTAATGGTTTCTTTTGAAGCATGGAAGTTTTTAATTTTAATGAAGTCCAATTTATCAGTGTTTTCTTAATGTGGATTATTACTTTGGTATTTTATCTATGAAATCTCTGCCTGACCCGGGGTCACAAACTTTTTCCTGCTTTCTTTTAGAAGTTGTATAATTTCACCTCCTGCATTTAGATCTCTAAACCATTTTAAGGTCACGTTTGTGGATAGTGTGAGATAAGAGTTTAATGCATTTTGTTGGATATGGGTATTTAATTGTTCTAGAACTATTTGTTGAAAAAAAAAAAAACAAAACTGTCCTTTCCTCTTGGATTGCCTTGTGGCCCTTTAATATTTTATTAAACTAGCATGAATGTGAGGTTTATTTCTAGACTTTATTCTGTTCTATTGATCTGTATGTTTGTCCTTCTCATAATGCTGTACTTTATAGATTCCTTTAGCTTTTATATTAAGTCTTGAAAGTGTGACTCTTCTAACTTTTTTCTCCTTTTTCACAATAATCTTGGCTATTCTAGATTCTTTCCAGTTTCATATAAATTTGGGGATCATTCTTCTTATTTTATTTGTTTTAAATAAAAGGACTGTGGAGATTATGGTGTTGCTTAAATATGCAGAATAATTTGTGAAGAATTGCCAAGCTAACACTGAGTCTCTCAATTCATAAATATGGTATATCTCTCATTTATTTGAATCTCCTTCAATTTCTTCCAGCAATGGTTTGTAGTTTTCAATGCTCAGATCTTATACTTCTTCTGTCAAACTTATTCCTTTCTGTTTTATGATTTTTGACATTATTGGGAACAGAATTATTTTCTTAATGTCATATTCAGATTGTCATTTGTGAATACATAGAAATACATTGGGGTTTTTTTTTGTTTTGTTTTGTTTTTTTGGGATCTTGTACATTGCAACCCTGTTACGCTCACTTACTTCTGGAGGTTTTTTATAAATTTCATAAGATTGTTTACATAGGTTATTATGTTGTCTGATGGTACAGTTTTATTTCCTCCTTTCCAGTTTATATGCCTTTGATTCTTTTATCTTGCCTTATAACACTAGCTAGACTCCAATATGATGTTTCATGGAAGTGATTATGAGCAGACATCCTTGTCTCATTGTCAGTTTTGGGGGAAAGCATTAATCTTTCACCACTAAGTATGATTTTAGGTGCAGGTTTTTTATGTGCCCTTCATCAGGTTGAGAAAGTTCAGGTGTATTCTTAGTTCGTTGAGAATTTAAATAATCAACTTATTTTGGCTTTGAACAAAAGTTTGTTGGCTTTTTTTTTTTTCCTGAAACTTTTG